GGCGGGTCGGGAGGTCCTTGACGCGCGCGCTGCTTCGGCCCATCAACCCCCTCCCCCCCTCTCACCACGTCGCGCGTCGCGGCGTCCGCTCCAGAACTACGTTTAATGCCAGACAATGAAGGACTAATCGACTGCATTAACAAATAACCGTCAGACCCCCCCCCCCTTTTCTCTTCCCCCTCACACTCCCGTCCCCCCTTTTCCCGTGTCCCCTCTTGATGAATAAAAGCAGTTTGCCCGGAGCCTCCGCAGGGGGGTGGGGGGAAGAGAGGGGCGTTAAATGCCGTTTTTCATTTGTCTCTCTTGTGGTGCCCCGCGGCCCTTCCTCCTCGTCCCGGCGAGTGAGAGCAAGAGAGGCAGAGAGACGAAACGAGATGAACGAGAGGGTAAGAGAAAGAGAGAGAGAGAAAGAGAGAGAGAGAGAGAGAGATGAGGGGAAGAGGGGGATTGAGGGCGCGCCCAAGGCCTCCCCCGCTGGTGAATACGGAGACGGAGACCCGTAGTCTGTTTGCTGTCGGACGCCACCGCCTCGGTAAAGGTCTGTCTGGACTCCCGCGCCCCACCCACCCCGCCACACTTCACCCCGTCCCGTCCCGCCACACCCCGCCCCGCCCCACCACACCTCGCCACACCCCACCACACCCCGCCCCACCCAAGTGGGACAAACACTTCTTCGGGGCACCGGCACCGTCGCGTCGGGTACCGCCCGTACCATGGCCATGACCACCGTTAACGTACGGATAGGATCATGAAACATGGTGTCATATAAACGTTTGCTCAAAATGCATGACCGCAGAAGTGCGCGGGGTGTGTCAGCAGTGTCAGGCAGCTGGTATACCAAGAAAATCAGTCGAATCAGTTCAGGACTCGTACTGAAAACCGCATGTATTCACATCAATATAATACACAAATTAAAACCCTGTAACCAAATCTTAGATATTTTTTGCGGTTTGGGGGGTGTGTGGTGTGGATGGTCTTCGCCAAAATGTTAATAATGCTGTGTGTATGTCTATGTGTGTGTGATAGAAAGAGAGAGAGAGATAGAGAGGGAGGGAGGGCCGCGGAGTGGCTGTGCGGCCGGAGGGCAGTATTACTGTGTGCACACACAGCCGAAACACTCTCAATTGCAGAGCCAATTTTACGTCCCACTGATTTGTTTGTTTTGTGTTGGCCCTCGCCCGCTCCGGAGCGCAGCACTTCCCGCACTGCTTCGCCAGCGCCAGCCCCGCTAGCAGAGCAAAGCAGGCCAGCTCGACGGCCCTCTCCCTTTTCCCCGCGCCCTGATTTCTCTCTCTCTCTCTCTCTCTCTCTCTCTCTATCTCTCTCTCTCTCCCTCTCTCTCTCTCTCTCTCTCTCAGACCCTGTGGAGGACTGTCACACCAGACATGAACCAATCACAACAACAAAAATAAACCCCCTTTACAGTCTGTTGCGCTCCCCCCGTTCTCGCCGATTCTCTAGACTGGCCGTCCGGGAGGCGCGTCTTCCTGCCCCCCATACCCCTCTGTCCCCTCCCCCTCTCCCTGCTCTCTTGTTCCAATCTGCTCTTGCTACCCTCTCGGCTTTGTGACGCGTCCGAGAGGGCGGCGGCCCGGGCTTTGCAAATAGGGTGGCGACCAAAGTGATAGGGCACGGGGGGTGGGGGCGGCGCGCGGGGGCGGAGCGCGCGCGCGAGCGAGCGCTGGCGGGGGCTGGTGAAGCGAACGGAATCCCTCTACAAATCACTCCCAGTGTTCTCCTCTGCTGCCCGCCCGCGCGCTGCTCTGCGCCGCTCTGCTGCCACGGCGCTGCTGCCGCGCCGACATGGAGGAGGCGGGCGTCTCGTCCTCTCTGCCCTCCACCACCCCGCCCCGCTCCTTCCTCCTCCCCGGCAGCGAGGCGCCGCCTGATGGGCGAACGCCCTGCGCCCAAGTCCTGGAAAGTCTCTGGAAAAAAAAAGTTTCCTAGACCCTGGAAATTTTTGGAAATTTCCAACTCTCTAGCCCGGGTTGCCGCGCATTTATTTTGCAGTGGACCTGTCTGTCAGTCACACACCATAACACTTTGCGCGCCGCGCTCACTGTACTAATTTTTAAATATTTTCCGAAATAGTCGGAAAATAAGAGAAAAGTATGGTATAGAATTGAATGCATTTTTGGCTCAGCTCGTTCACACATTTCGTGGTGCTGATAACAGTTTTCAACGGTTTTACATTCTTTTCATTTTCAATTAAATTTGTTACTTTCTCAGCCTTTTTTGAAGCTTCTGGGTCCGTTAGATTGGCAGCAAACCTTTAGTTCAGAATAGAATAGACTTTGAACAGCTTTCTACATTACTGCGCACTCGGTGAGCAGAAAGTCGTGTGGCGCCTCGTTCACTGTAATCCTGTCTATTGCTGATTTTCTGACCCATTGTCAGTAGTCCTGTGTACAAGATTTTTTTTATCAATAATACGATATAATTCCTTTTTACGTGTCACTGATAACTTGTTCTTGTATCTGTAAGTAATTTACAAAGATATACACAACAATTAAAAAAAAAAAATCTGTAAGCCTGCTGCGTTGGAAAGTGGATATTTACTTTAAAAAATCAGTACTACAGGTCTGAGAGTGAATTATGGCCTCGGAGGCCGTCGTCTTGCCGATGCGTGAGCGAGCTGGGCTTGCGCGTGGTCCCTGGTCCAGTGAGGGGCGGGTCGGGAGGTCCTTGACGCGCGCGCTGCTCGAGCTCGTGTAGCTCATCAGCAGCGGCCTCCGCGATGGCGTCGAGTCTGACCGTGCGGGCCGCGCCCATACTTCCGGCCACTTACTTCCGCCCGCGCGGGCTCACTTCCGGTTCGCAGACCCCCCCCCCCCTCGTGTGTGTGTGTGTATGTATGTGTGTGTGGAGAGAGAGGGGATCTCAGACGAGCACCAGCAGCGCCTTTGGGAAGAAAAAGTTTTGCCGCGTCTGGCCAAAGAAAGGCGACACAAGCTCTCACTTATTCAGGGACGGGTGCGCTCGTTTTGCAGTTGTGTGTGTGTGCGTGTGTGTGTGTCTGTGTGAGAGAGAGAGTAAAAGAGAGAAGGGGAAGAGGGCGAGGAGAGAGACAAGTATGTGATGTTACTGGTGTTTGTACGGCTAAGGTATTGTTTAATTAAGGAATTGTGATTGAAAATCAGATTGGGGATTAGAAACAAGCGTGCCATGTCGAGCCAAACCAGGGAGAGCATCAATTAAACCAAAATGTCGTCCTTTTTGTTCTATTTCCCATCTTGTAGTCGCTATAGATACGTATGGGGTATGGGGTTTTCGACGAGCGTAAACTGAAAATGATCCTCGAAAATGGTAGTAATCTTTGAGCCATCATAAATTATTCTCGTCCCCTGACACTGTAAAAACCGAGCATGATGATAGTAAATATATAATTGCACTTTTGCTGCGATACATACGATATTTTTTGCACTTTTTCTTGAAGATTCGAAATTTAAAATTAAAAATGAGAGAAAATGGACTTTATGTTTTACAGCCATACTGACGTGTTCATTGTGTTCTGTTGCAGCTCCGCCGACCATACGCCACCGGCTGCACGTGAGCGCGCCCCCCATCACGGCCAACGGCAGCGTCCCCGCCGCGGCCTCCGGGACCACCGTGACCCCCGTGACGACATCCTGGCCCAGCCCGACGGCCGCACCGCGGGGGCAGCTCCCAGTCGCGGCCGCGCCCACCGCCCCGGTGACTGCCAAGACCAAGACGGCCACGACGTCGACGGCGCGCCCGCCCACCCTGCAGACCCGCCCGACGATGGCGCCGCCCAGGGCCAAGCTGCCCAGGATGACGTCGACGGCGATGCCGGCCGCCCCCACTGTGCCCAAGAAGTCCCCAACGGCGCAGACGGTGACGACGCCCAGCCAGGCCGAGCGGCCCAACGCGGCCGACGCCACCGCTTCCACCGTCGTGGCGGCCACCAGCGGGCGCCAGGACGCCGTCGTGTCGGCCGCCTCCGCCAAGGTGGCCCCCAACACCAGGCCGCCCGACGACGAGCAGTACCCGATGTACGCCGAGTACCCGGACGTCTCCGTCAACCTCACCAACGCTGGCCCCAGCGGTGAGTTCCGCGCACTCCACTTACGCGGGGTGCGAGAGCCGCTTAATCCGGTTCCCAAAGTCTGAGTTTGTCGCTTTGATCGCCCCCACCCCCATCCCCTTTGAGCGCAGCCGTGTCGCCGGGGCGCCAGGTCTAAAGTCTTTCCTTTGTGTCGTGCAGGCGGCGACAGCACGGAGGGCGACGTGGTCCCGGACCCCGACGCAGCGCTGCGCCAGGAGGACGATGAGCGCGAGCGCGCCTCGCTGGCCGGCGACGACCCTCCGGACAACATGCAGTTCCTGGGCGAGGCGACCGCCGTGCAGCAGAGCCCGACCCGGGAGGACATCATCCCCGAGGACCCCAACGTCGGCGTGCTCTTCGGCTCGGTGGCCGACATCCGCATCGCCGGGGACGTGTCCGGGGCCGTGTCGGGCGACCTGGAGGCGGGCTTCGAGCACGCCCCCGTCGAGGAGGGCGCCGTGGTGCGGGACGACCTCCTGGGCATGCCCGTCGAGCCCCAGGACCCCGACCTGCGCGAGCGGGACCGCCTTGACGGCGACGCCTACCGCGACCGCGAGCGCGCCGAGCTGCAGCTGCACAACCAGGGCGCCGCCGGCAAGCAGGTCAGTGTTAGTGAGCGGGTCCCTGTCGTGCCAACCTTCGCACACTGGGAGCCACGGCCATCCATTGTATTGGTTTTGTGGGGTCTTTGTTTCTTTTTCCGAACGGGATTAATTTTTAACACTTCAGCGTACCTCTTGTGCCATTCGGCGCATTGCAACCGGCACTCGACGAGACACAGAGGGAAAAAAAACTGGACGAAAAAGTGTAGAAACATGAAAAGTAATGGCAGCTGGTGGAGAATTATTGATGTCGATTCACCATTGCGTTCTGGAGCGCGCTTCGGCATGCCATTCCGTGCATCGGCTGCGGTGGGGCTTGGAGTTCGCCCCGGGATGCCAGCGTCGGGCCGGATCTGGCGCCATACGACCGCGGTCGGTACAGCCTCCTCCCCCGCCCGCACACGGTCCTAAAAACAATGTCTGACATTTTAAGGAAATAGGGAAAACTCTAAGGGGTTTTTAGTTTAAGGAAAATTTCTCAATTTTTTTCCTTTTCTCTCCGAAAATCAGACATTGTTTTTAGCGTGCGGTGCACCTTGTGTACATCCAAATGT